TTCTTTGTTGTCGTGGAGAGTAGTTCGGTACAGCTGAGAGATCAGAACATTCTGAAGCGGTAAACATTCTAGGAACATCTTTATTTAAAAGAAATTTTGCCGGTTCATCGGTAAAGTGACACAGAGTGGCTATAAAGGCCTTGGGTGACGTTTGACTGTGACATTACCTCAATCCAACATTTCTTGGGTTTTTGTAGGCACATTTACATTCAGGAGTTTGCCATTGCTAACTCAACGGTGGGCTATCGATACCATTGTCGAAACCAAAGCAAGATGAACTGTTGCAAAATCGTCTGCAGCTGGGATCGAACCCGGCACCTTGGCATTACGATGCGCATTCGCAGAACCTAAGCCACAGACGCTAACTCCAGTGTATAGTAGTATGTTCAATGTTCCAGTAATATTTTTCAATACTCTAACATATATTTTGTTCAGTACTTTAATAATATACCTAATAATCCATTGTACAATATACTGAGTTCTCCAGTCATTCACACAATACTCCAATGTTTTTTATACGCAGTGATCCGAATTTAGACTCCATGCTTCAGTGTATAATTTACTCAGTTCTCCGATGATAGACAATAATCCAGTGTATAATACTCAGTACTCCAATGTATAAATAATATACTCAGTACTCTAATAAGGGGTTCAATACTCCAGTGTATAGAATACTCAATACTCTAGTCCAGTGTATAGAATACACAATACTCAAATGTATAATATACTCAGTTCTATAATAATAGACTCAATAGTCAAGTGTATAGTATATTAAGTAATCTTATGTATAATATACTCAGTACTATAATAATAGACTCAATACTCCAGTGTATACTATGGTATATTAAGTACTCCAATATTAAACTAAAAACTCAAATGTATAGTATACTCGGTACTCAAGTGTATAATATACTCATTACTAAAATAACAGACTCAATACTGTAGGGTATAAGACACTGTCATAACAACAGAGCAATGAGCAACAAGGGGAAAAAAAGGGTGGTGGGTGGGGGGGGGGTTGTCACAGATAAGCCAAGTACTTTGTTTACACACATGCTTGCGCGCATACACACGTACACACATGCAAGTATATACTATTCCCAGTACATAAGGCCCGCCCGCTAGATATATCCTTGAACCTGAAACTTTGTTTTATCTTCCACAAACACCCGCTAGAAGTCGTGTCAATAAACCCCCGGCACAATGTAAACAGCCTACAAAAGCTGTTGACCCAGTGGAAAGTAGCCAGATAATTTAACAAACAAGCAAACTTTAAAAAAAAAAAAAAACCTATAAAAAGACAGCTCATAACTGGAATGTTGAATTAAGAATCGACATCACATCACATCACTTTCATAAGCAATCCGTCTTAATCTTCAGTAGCAAGTGAAGACTTCCAATTCCGATGGCAGTAGTAACTGTCTGGTTGTATATCCTAGAGAAAAACAAAGACTAGTACAGACATGCTAAATCACAGTCGGTATTCTCCTTAGGGCATTGATTTGTCGTGTTATTATTATCCGTTCATCACGAGCGATGAAGACTAATTTCATCCAGTAATGATTAATAATTATGAGTACGAAGGTGGCTGATTAGTCCAATATAAGCCTAGAAAGTTCTTGAGCAGTGCGGACAACAGGTGGAAGCGGCAGTAAGTGTAGGATTAGCGATACGGTTCTTTTTAGTCTGCCTCCGTCTCTATGCTTGTGCTGCCTGGCAGGCCGATGCATCATGCCTGAGTGATGTTCGCCATCCAGAACAATCCTGTGCAGCAGCCTTCCTTGTCGCTGTGTTGATGCCACAAGAGTCGAGAGCCGTTTTAAGAGTGTTCTTATAGCGGTTTTTTTTCTGTCCTCCCTGTGATCTCTTCTCTTGCTGGAGTTCGCCATAAAATATTTTCTTTGGCAAACAGGCTAGGTAACCAGCCCAAGGCAGTTGATAGTTCCTCAGTATCGTGATTTGCCGTAAATAAAACAATGAATTACTAATACAATGGAGGAAACTCAAGTCTTATGAGGAATCTTCCTTCTTTTCATCTTTTTTGTTCCCTTCCCGTTTCACTGCTTTAGGTATCGAGGAAGATATGAGGTTCTGTTTCCTGATCTTCTAGCCATGAAGGCTATTCTGAGTCGTTGAGGTGAAGTCGCGACAGGCCTAGCAAGCCGGCGGTGGATTTATTATCGCAACAGAGAATACAGTGAGATACGACGCACTTTTGGACCCATCAAAGATGCAAACAGTGGAGAGCGGAAAGTGAGAAGAAACATCGAAATCCCTGTTCTGTTTAAATAACCATAAATTGATAGCATCATGAAATCTTAAAGGCCACAATGGTTGAGTCATGTTTATCCTTGTTCAGAGTGTATGTATTGCACTATTTGTTTCGTTTTCTTCTATACATCCACAATGTTCTTTAAAGTATTATCTCGTTAACAAGAAGTTCAAGTAAACTAAAAGTTCAAGTAAACTAAAAATCAAAAGTGTGTATTAAAAAAAAAAAAAAAACCATTTAAAATTAAAAATAAAACTTTTTTACTGAAGGGGAAATAATAAAAGAGATAAATCATTTCTGGGATAAAACATATTTAGTATTAACCGAGTTTTTTCTTTCAAAGAATCGTTGTTATAACGACGTTTGACTCTAGGTCAGCCTTTCTCATCCGATGGGTCGCGACCACTTTTTTTTGGCTCGAACGACCCGACCCTTTCACAGGTGTCGCCAAAGACCATCGCAAAACACATATTCATTGAAGTTATGAAGTAGCGACGAAAATAATCGTATGGTTGGGGTGTTACTACAACACGAGGAGCTGTGTTAAAGGGTCGCCACAACATGAGGAACCTTATTAAAGGGTCGCGGCATTAGGTAGATTGAGAACCACCACACTACAGACTACGTGCTCCCATAACAGTATCCTAAGCATATTATTGGTTTCCACCAAGATTCATTATACTTAGTATTGTTATTATTTCAAAATTTAGGTATACTTAGAGCACATTGTAACTGAGATGTTTTTGATGATGTCTATTATTATTATTATTATTATTATTATTATTATTATTATTATTATTAATATTATAAAAAAAATTATTATCTGCTAAAACGATGTGTGAATGAATAATGTTTGCACGGAGTAAGGCCAGACGGGTAAAATGTAAGACGGGCCTGTGTGTTCAGTTTTTAACCCTTTGAAAATAAAGTTCATTTGTTCATTCGTTCTCCGAAAGGTGAATACGGTATCTGGAATCTGCCTTGTTGGTCTGCCGTCCAGATTTAGATTTTCAATCTCAGGATCAATCAATCGCAGACCAGTTGGTACAACATCAGATTTACAGATAAAATCTGTACTTAAAAAGATTTGCTTATGAGGGAAATAAAACACAGGGTAAGTTCGACATTAGTCTCCCCACACTCTGCCCATATACACATTAGCTCACTTCTGATTGGTAGTTCCTGAGCCCCGTGGCCTTCGCACACGGTTACGGGGGTGTTCCGCAATACCGTTGATATCGCGACTTGGATATTTCAGCACGCCAGCGCTTTTAACACTAAAAAAAATATATAGAAATTGGGTCTAACACAACCCTCCTAGAGAGTGCTGCAAACTATGTCACGGGTATTCTCTTTCTCGGAATAAAAACGTAAAAGGAAGACATCGCAGAAACCAAACAACAGAGCGGGACACACCCGTAACCTTCATGAACGTCGACCAGCCCAACAGACTAAAGTCGAACTAACCAAACCCAGTTTAAGGCAGGAATCGGAGCCCACTGGAACGCTTCTCGCCCAGAATACAATCCTGAAAACCAATTCAACCTCCTCACACGAATGCAACGAACTACTGCTTTCAGACTGCGGACTGGACACAACTGACTTCGCTGCTATATGTACCAGAAATGCAAGGCTGGGGACTTAGGTACACGCCAGTGTGGATAGGCAGGCACCATAGAATACGAAACATGGGCTCAATACAGGCTCTCTTCATGCAGTAGGGAGATCCCAGGTTTGGCCGATTGGCATTTCGATTAAAAACAGTACACTCCCTCCACTGAGATTTCTAGGAATTCCAGTGAAATGAGACTAAAAAGCTTTACAAAACGGGGAAGGGGGAAAAAAACGTGCACAAAGAACACAAAAGAACGTTTCGACCGCTGGCATTTCTCGAAAAAGTAATGAACTACACAACGGTAACAAAGTTGTGTTGTACATTACTTGTTTAGGGAGTCGCCGTGGCTGAGCGACTAGACGCTCGCTTGCGGATCGGAAGGTCGTGGGTTCGCTCTCAGTCGGAGCCGGACTTTAAAAAAAAAAAAGACCTTTTCCCACTAGCCTTGAGTGGGTACCGGGTACAGTACGGGGAAGTAAAGGCGGCCGGTGTGATGCTGACTGCATCACCCATCTTGTGCCAATTGGTCTATATAATATAGGGATAGCCCTATATGTCCTAACCGCCTAAATGTGTGGAAAAGGGTCCTTTACTCTTTGTTTTTAAGTTGCTTGTTCGAGAGACGCTGTATAGTTCATTACTTATTCGAGAAAGGCCAGCGGCTGAAACGTTGTTTTGTGCACTGTTTTTTTTTTTTTTTGCTTCTCCGTTTCGTTAAGCTTTTTTAGCCACATTTCACTATAATTCCTTGGCATAAGCTCGACTGTAGTTACCCGCATATTTTCACCATTTTTGAGATTTCTAGTCACATTTAGTGTTATAATAAGCATCGATTGAAACCAAGCTGTATGGATCAGAGGACAATATTCTTATCTTAAAAACAGGCTTGTGGCCTTCTCACCTGAAAACCACTGACACGGAGAAGGAAAAGAAGTAGAAGAACGAGAAGTGTAGAAGTGTGTTTCTGTGTAGTATTCCTTTATTTGTATGTGCTGATGAAGGCTCAATAGCCGTAACATTCACGTTTTGTTTGTATTTCTTTTACTGTTAAGCTTGCTTATATACATTTCGTTCGGTTTTCTATCGTTTCAAGATGCAGAAGAGATAACCTACCTGTGCTGGACCATTAGGAACTTTCTGGTCAAACTCATAGGCGATACGTTTTTCCTGCAACTCCATTCTTCTCTGTTCTGGGTAGTCATCGAACTGCGGCAAAGAGGTATCCAAATGGTTGATCTGGTAGTGGTACTTGGCCCGTATCCATCGGAAAATTGGAAACACGAAGGTGCTGTTTGTGACGCGGTTTTCAATGACAATTTTGTCCACATACCAATCACTGGCAGCCCACGCATCATCTTTCCATAGCTCGATTCGTGTGATCTTTCCCATTCTCGGCAAATTTCTTATCTTTTTAGTGGGCACATGAAATGTATCCAAACATCCTCTTTCGAAGTCGTTTTTGAAGTAGTTATCTAAAATAATGGGTGAAGATGCGTGGCCATCATCATCATGCATGACAATCCGCACATTTGCATCCGTACCGGCGTTTCTTCGATCCCCCGTCTGAACATAAATCATAAAGTCAGAGCTCGGTTTTTGAAACATACCCCCCAT